ACGATGCATCGTGGTCCGGTTGGCAAAAATACAGTGACCAGTTAAGTCACAAGAACTGAAACTTACCTGAACTATGTCTCGAACAGCCGCTCGACCACGAGAAGTGAGTCGGATTTCATCACCGTCCAATTCTTCCATTTCATCGAAATTGGCCGGACCAACACCGACAATAATGATACTCAGAGGGAGGGAAGAGGCCTATAACGTGGTGGTGGGGGGGGGTGAGATGGGAAACGAAATTCAGTAAACGAATCAGCCCATCAGTAGGAAGTCATTCTTTCATTAATTTTGACCATACAAGGTGGATTTGAAACACAGAGGCCGTATCAATCTTAATCCAAATAGATTGTTACCAGAGAACGACTGTTGACCGCAGACACTCGTCTAGTGTGGGTCTTGCCCCAAGCTTTGGGGTTCTATTGACGGTCGGAAATACGGGGAAGAAAAACTAAGTCGGTCGAGCAAAGATCATCTGGTTCGGGCATTTCTCCTGAAGTGGTCACTCATCTCTATCCCAATCGTACACCACCAGATGTAGAACAATCTAAATTAACTTCATCACATCACAAGGTGGAAGGTAAGCGGTTCCCTCCTGAATGTCTGAAAAACATTCATTTGAAGTAGTATTGTGTATTACTGACTGAGAATGCCATTTCCTTTGAACAATTCCTATTAATCGGTATACGCGCATATCTTAAATGCAAGTCCAACATTAAGAAAGTTTCCACACATTGTAGTTGATCAAAAACTGCTGCCACAGACTGGACTGTAATCGCGGTTTACCAGCCGAAAATCTGCACAAAACGGGAATTCCCAGTTGAACATTATTATCATCATTATCCTGTTAGAATAATCGGAAGTCTGAGTATCATCAATGATAACTCATTTCAATATTTGCTCAATACGCAAATTGGACTTCATCCTCTATATACAGCAGAATACGACGTGAGCCGCAAGATCGGAAACCCGAATTCAACGAGATCTCGTATTCGAACCGTGTGGGTCATCATCGCCTGTGAACTCCTGAAAATAAAGATATACAACTGTTTCAAGTGTCCGTGACGTGCTCGTAGGGGTAAGGGGTTAGAGCTTCCGCGATCGCGAATAGTAAGTTTATTTCTTTAGAGCTCATCAGGAATACCACGCCGAGTTTCGCCACGAACCGTGCAGAACCCAAATCTTTTTTTATTACACAATGTGAATTACAGTAAACGGAGAAATCCCCATGGAAAAATAGCATACTTTAAAGGGGAAAGTAGGGGAACATTCACGTAAGATCCAGCTTATTGATTCTGCGTTTAAAAAGTGTAAGGTTGTAAGTTGGTGGGTGGGGGAGATAGCAAGTGGGAGGGTGTTCCACAGTTTGGCAGGTAGGGGGGGAGAAGACTGGAGTAGAGAGATACGACATCTGGGAACAGTAACCTGATAAGGATGACTAGATGCCTGTGTATGGGATGGGCGGCTAAAAGTTGCAGAAAGAGGAACTGCCGAGGCAACTTCCGAAGAACAAAAACCAAAGTAGTTGCGGTAGAACAGGGTCAATGAAGCAACTGCCCGATGATGGGCTAGCGACTGTAGACTGGACGTTAGGAAAGGATCATTGAATAGCCGGATGGCCTTTGGTTGAACACGATCAAGAAGGGAAAGGGAAGAGGACGAAGCCCCACCCCACACGTGACTACAGCAGGGTGGATTTGATCTTTGTACAATGGAAGAAGATGAGCTGGGGTGAAAAAAAGTCTGGCGCGAAACAGAAATCCAACCTTGCGCGCAGCACGACAAGCAAGTGTAGCTATATAAGGGGACCAGCATAAAGAAGAAGTAATAGGCAGTCCAAGAAGGAAAACAGAGTTTGTGAAACGCAGTTGGGTGGAATCAAACGATAAATAAGGGGAGAACGAATAGTGTTTTAAAGAAATTGAAAGAAGAGAGATTTTAGAACTATTGAACGAAACGTTTTTTGTAATGTCCCAGTAGATGTATTCGAGATCGGAGTCCAGTGACACATTAACTGCACTACGGTCACCATCGATGTTGTTTTGGGCATGGCGAGCAGTGCGGTAGGAGAGGGAGCAGTGGAGGGTGGCAACATCAGCAAAAGAATGGATCGGGTTAGTTATTTGAGAAAGGAGATCATTGATAAATAGAAGGAAGAGGGTGGGCGCAAGTACTGAACCTTGGGGAACACCAGCGTTCACAGGGAATGGCTGAGATAGAACAACCTCAAATCGGACAGAGATGGTTCGCTTACTGAGGAAACTTGATATCCACGCTACGAGCGCTGGAGGGAACCCGAAAAGTGGACCGTGCCAAACCCGGTCGAAGGCCATTGAGATGTCAAGCGAGACTAAGTGTGTTTCTCCGTGGTTACCGAGTGGAGCTGACCGGGATTGTGAGACAAGAGCCAGAAGGTCACCGGTGGAGCGACGGGATCGAAAGCCATACTGGCGGTCTCTCAGTAGTCCTTCACGTTCAAGGAACGTACGTAGCTGGTCAGAGATTATAGTTTCAAATACTTTCAAAAGAACAGATGTAAGGGAAAGGGGTCGATAATTGTTGGGGTCAGAAAGGTCGACGCGTTTGGGAATGGGAAAAATCACAGCGTGTTTCCACCGGGTTCGAAAAGAAGAAAAATAAAGGGAAAGACTGAAAAGACGATGTAAAATAGGAGCCAGCTCAGGAGCACACATTTTGAGGACGATGGGTGGAATACCGTCTGGACTGGGTGGTTTGTTTGCGTTTAGAGAGCGCAATGTTTGACGGATTGTCCTAGTGCTTATATGAGGTAGAAAAGGCTTGTCAGTTAAGAAGGAAAGAGGTGGTATAAAAGAAATGGGGTAAGATAGAGTTGGCGGCAAACTGGGAAGCAAAAACCTCAGCTTTCTCGTGTGGTCGCCAGCGGCGGAAGGCTGAACGTTTAAGGCGTACAGCACGGTTACATGCATGGTTAAACCACTCAGGGGATTTGGGTTTGCCGGTTTGGAAAAGAGCGGAATAAAAAGATGCATACCCCAGGAGAACAACGTCGGTGAAGTTAGAAACAGATTTGGAAACACCCAAAGAGAAACAGCAACCATTCCAGGGATAAGCAGCTAGTTGGCTGAGTTGTAGCGCCAGAATGTGTCTCAAGGTGTGTGGTGGCTCGGAGTTTAAAAACCTAATAGAACAAGAAACAACGCAGTGATCTGATGAACCAAGAAGAGCGAAGGTACGAATATCTGAGAACAAAGAAGGAACCGAAGTGAGAATCAGATCGAGGGTGTGGGCACGATCGCCAGCTCGATCAGGGACACGTGTGGGGAGGTCAATTAGTTGGCTTAGGTTGTTAACCAAAGCGAAGTGTTCAGCCTCGCGCTCCAAAGGAGAAGTAGCAGATGAATGTGTCAATCAGTGATTGTGAACGTTAAAATCTCCCAAGATAGCAGCTGGGGTCGGTCGCAAACAAGTGTTCAATGTTCGAAGATAGAAAATTAAGGGACGGAAGAATCGCCGCTATTGGGGGGACGATTAAAAAAAACAAAAAAGTAATGATTAAAAGAAGAAAGTCGGAGTTTCAGACATATCAGTTGAAATTCACGATTGAAAAAGTCAAGATTTGGAATCCTGGAGGCGGTGACTGATTGGTGAATAAGGGTGCAGACACCAGCTTTGGGTAGAAAGGTGGAATGTAGGGTGTAATTGGGGAATACAAGGTGGGTGACCAAGGGGAGATTTGTGTTTCGGTCAAAAAAGGGCGAGCGGAGAAGAAGAATGGAGAAAATGGTGTACAGAAATCAATATTGTGGTTCAGGCCGCGAATGTTAATGAGGATGATGAGTGCATGTTTACAGTCTGAGTGCAAATAGCGAGCGAGAGTACGTGAGCGTTCGTGATTTCGTATGTTGTAAGCAAACCGGCAATCATGATCCTGAAACATGAAGTGGCGGACCACATACGGCTTCAATAGATCAGGCGTGGTAGTGAGCCAGGCGACGGCAGAGCCGCATACCATGGCCTCTAAATTGCAATAAATTTCTTCTCTCAATATTACTTGTCAGTTGTGAGTTGTTGTTTCATGCCCTAGTGTCGAATACGGAACATCGGCCCTAATAATTCATCCATTTTCAACTTATATCTACCAACTTTTCTCATGATTGCAGTCAAAGCTTACGGCGGTTCATTCAATTGGAGTCTTACCACGGATGACCCCGAGAGTGAATCGAAAATGATCCACACGAAGTGTGCACTCAAATCAAGTTTTACGTTGGTTGACACGGGGACAAGTTTATGAATGGTATTTTACCAGTGAAATAACTTCAACGCATGTGAAGGACGAAGCGACAGTTATTGTTTATACGCTGCATCTTGGATCACGTGGCAAGCAGCTAATTGGTCTGGACAGTCAAAGGATTACTTTGGTCCTGCACGACGGATTTGATGATCCCCTGTTAGGAGAAAGACACTTCCAGCGATTGAATCTGAACAAGGCTGACCGTTTCTCTACATACTGATTGGTCACAGACGGTAGAACGGTGGTGTTCGAGGACGTGATGGACTTTCGCTTGACTAACTAGGTTCCTACAAGAGACACTAAAATTTGCAAACAGCAGTATGACCTAAACTGGTATAGTTCACACCTCATCGCTATACCGCTCTTTACCTTACCTCCTATCCACCCTTGAAAGTGTGCAGAGTAAATAGGAATGTGACTGACACTGGTCGCCGGTCTTCCCGAACCGTATTGAATAACGAGGGATTGCGCATCAGTATCATCCATTTAAAAGGCATTTAAACCAATTGCGCCTGGACCATAGCTATCAGCTAGTGTACATTATCAACTGAAACAGTGAAACCTAACTGGAAAGTGTTACTCAGTCGGTACCGTACCGAGTTTCTAGCACGCGTGACACAACAAAGGACGCATGGCTCATCTAAACGTCAACAATAAGGAAGTACACAACATTGTGCTTCTTGATTTTCCTGCGCAAGAATATGACCTACTGGGCAAACACAACCGTACAGATCCGGAGAAAAGGAGAAGGGGTGGGGCTGTGCGAAAAACAAGACAAAGAACAACAACTCACATTTACAATGGCTGCACGAGTTTGGGGCAGATCTGAAATTATTCCATCGGTGAGGATCAGTAAAATTGAATACTGGGAGCCCGGTTCTGCTTGCCTAGCAATGCTAGAAATGAAGGCAAACGTATAGGCGGGGAGAGAAAGGCACGGGGAAGCGAATAAAAACCGTAAAAAAGAGACAAAAGGAGATTCAATGGCTGCTGCAATGGATATATTATTATCCATAAAATTACTCAGATTCATCATTCGTAGATAATGCGACGGGACAGAATACGGGAAAAGTATCAAACGATTTGAAATAGGTGGGTAAGTTTAATTTCAGAATACAAAACACCCTTCAGTTTGTGCAACCATTCACTCCATACTCTTGCCGAATAATCCCGTTCAGTACTGATCAAAAATTGTTCATTACTTGATAGACTTCGGGATATTTTTACGTACTTAATTGCGTATCAAGCAAGAGTCTAGTGGGGGTTCGAACCTACTCATGAATGTCACATATGTTTATGTGGAGCGTACGCTCGAATAACTGCGCCTTAGATGTGGTCCCCCAGGAAAGTTGGTACTGCATACACTGAACTGAGGCCCGTGTATCATTTCTGCTGTGGTGCAGTTCTCATCAAGGATCTCGATTTTATCACAACTGGATACATGAAGAAAAAGGAGTAACAACAAGTTAACTGTCAGTGATCAGGAAATACCATGTCCTTGTGAAGACTCAATGTTCTATTCGGAAAACTGATAGCCGAATCCCTTGAACACGGATTGCGGAACCACACGGGAGAACGGGGTGCCGGGATCCTGGTCTTGAACCTTAGGATAGCGACCTCGATGGATATTGCGACCGGTCGGGCTTGGGATGGTGAACGATTGCCACGTTCTAAGAGATGAACACACACATTCGCACGTGATGTATGCTGCGTGTTCGTCTTCCTCTGGAGCAATGCTGACAAATGGTATTGGGTGACCAGTGTTATTTACCTCGGTGTGTGAATCACTAAACAATCCTTAGAAAGCGGGTGGGGGTGGACGGGCGGGCATGAGAATAGACTGACATGTGATATCCAGAGTGGATAAGCGGAGTGCGTGAGAGTAGATCTGCACAGATTTGCCAATAGACCCCGAAAAAGTGAGCGGGGAGGTGAGATATTTGACGACGTTAGTGTAGGTTTTAGTTCCGGCGGTTTCCTTGCGCCAGCCAAACTCAAACAACAAACAAGGGGACAATGAAAAGATTGGAATTTTTGGATAATAGGCAGCTAGCTAACCGCTGAGCAAAGAACGGGGCACAATCAAAGAGGCAATGGTGAAATAGACAGAATGTAGCAAAAAGGGAATGGAAAATATTATCCAAAGTAGATTCTGAATTCATCTAAATAAAACTAAATGAGAAAACTCAGTAAGTTCTTATGAAGTTCTACAATGCTATTCAACATTAGGTTTGTTATTGTTATTGTTCCCGGAACATATGATCATGCATCTGATGCAGTGACCGACAGTCATTTAGTTCAACTGTCAGGATTTCCATTTCCAACCCAGAGGTTTGCGTTCCCAGGTTCCGCAAGAGACACAAAAGTAGTACACAACGAGGAAGAAACCGATACCCATTGTCCCTCATTCAACCACAACACAAATCCTTATCTTTTTTACTACACATCTAAGTGTGATGAACAGCAGACGGGGCGAACCCCATAAGGTATCGATAGGTCAGGCATGGTATTGAACCGGACGACAGCAGAGCTGCCAAAGTCGGGTGGTGATGGCGGGGCTCGAACCTTGGACCATAGTGTCCAAAGCGCGCCGATGACAGCAACTAAACCACTGTGCCACCACCGCGCAAACAACACACTGGGCCGGATCTCCGTTAGAAATGCTCCTTTAAAATAGCACTGAAAAAATAGGTTGTTTTTTTACTTTGAACAAGGGACTAAAGATGAAAAGTTAAGTCCAGTTGATTGCTTGAACAAAGTCATCATAACCGACGGGACACAGGTAGTGAAGTAACCGCCATATGTAATGCAGCAGCACGTAGGAGAGTAAGATACCTAAACCACAGTGTGAGTACTGATCAATGATAGGTCCGTAGTCAAGTAAAGAACAGGTGGAATACTTGAGCAACACTGGGGGAGGAGGTATTTCGGCGAAATCACGGTTATCACAAAGAAGTCATATGTGTAAACTTTGCTGGTTGAGACACCAAATGGCCGTGTCTAACGCCCGATACCATTTGAAATGTCCGAACTTCACCGAAAAAGCTGGTACGATGCGTTAGGCTTCAGTCAGAAAACTTTTGAAACTGGTACAATATAGATCCGAAGATCACGTGAGCGAGAATCAGCAAAAAATCAGGCGAGACGATAACACATCAGACGATCTGTTTTTTTTATGATTGTTATCAATTCCGTATCTGGTTCGTCGTAAAAACGTGTCGCATCACGTTTCGTTCACAGTTCCCGATTCACGATAGCAGATACTTTGTGAAGGTGAACAGATGATGTGAGGCGGAATGAAGAACCACACCCCGGGGGAATTAGAAAAACTACACATCTTCCATCTCTAGTTAGCTTCGTTACACAGAACTCTGCAACCGACTGGCAGGGGATAGAAGTGAGTTTAGTGGGGAAGAGGTAGCAGGGAAGTTCTGAGTTTCGTTACTGAAGTAACGGATTAAACCCATGATTGCCGTGTTTATATCGAGATGGTGTAAAACAAACAAATCAAGATGATACGATCGCTTTAGCCGTGCAAAATCACTAGAGGACGTGTCATTTTGACAAGACAGTTCCAGTCAGGGAAATTAGTACAGTTGATTGAGATTTAGAAAAAAACTATCAATACCATCTTATTACGAGTGATATTCAGTTTCAGTTCAGTTTTTGCAACCATTAGTCATGCACTTTCGTGTGCCGGTTTTGGTTGCTGTCTTTTGGTGTCCCATTTGGATAAAAGAGCTTAGGAATGATATAAGGGATGAGAGCGCGACGGGGAAGGAGGAAACAGTCACCACTAGATCTTTATATCAGTGAAACCGCAGAAGAATGAATGTGGTTCAGTACGGGAGTTTAATCTGCCATACCTGGCAACCGTGTTGATAATGGGAGCAAAGTTTGTCGGACCGTGGAATTTGACAGTTCGCAGTGAATGTGCATAGGCAGCCATAGCGCCCTGAATTCCTTCGCAATACGGATTATCAATGTGACCGTTCTGGAGGGAAACAGGAGAGAAGGAATTACGCGATGAATTGAAAACTGATTTCACGGGGAGTGGGAAACTTAGAACGATCAATCACTGACAACAAAGCGAAAAATTCCGAAAAAATTCCCATCCGAATTATTTATCATTATTTTTTCATTGTTACTCATTCATGGGAAACCATCCATAAGAGAACATTCCATTTTAACGGATGAATTGCAAACGACCTGGTTTATCTCTGGACGTTTCCTACTTGCTAACGAATATATGAGGCAGGTGAATGCGCATGAGAGTAGCAAATGCACCAATAAAACACACAAAGAGAAGAGAATATTCAGTTCTGTATTTTCTTTCATTTATTCGAAATAGGTTCGCATAGTCATACGCTTCGCGATCGTCCCTGTGTTGTTGTTCTTTTCGCTTCTTCTGTGCGTTGAAAATATGAAAAATAAGCGTTCTCTTATGCTGAAAAAGAGTAAACTTTGGCTAGTTGAAGGCGAATAAAACCTACCACAAAGTAGCAGATGTATCCAACACTTGACTTGCCGATCATCTGATGAATGGCCATACATTGGTACGTGACTTGTGAGTGGACGTGCCGCATAGTTCGCAGACTATTGTTCACCCTAAGCACAGCTACGTAAACTTCTGGTCGGCTATCTCGAAGCGTATAACTTAGCGGTTAAAAGATCGGTTGCAGTTTTCGAAACTCCAGGATTAGTTTTCAATGTGCTGCTTTCACCGTATACTTTGTGTGTGTTAGTCTATCTATTTTATGGGGTACGGGATTTCAATGGGCAGACTGTACAGCATTCACACCACGGACTTTGTAATCGGACTTGAATGATTGTTCGGTGCTGTGATAAAAACAAAACGATCGGAGCCGACCTGGTCCATAGCACCATCGATGAAAAATGTCACTCCAGTCTCACAACGCGATCGAATCATCTATCAAGTCCGACTCCGGTGACACAAATTAAATCTCAATGAATTGTTTAACCAGTTTTACTTATATGCTCCATATCCCCACAGTCACATAACTACACCCTTGGAAAAGAAATGTACATCCAGTTAGAACAGTTGAGAAGAGATAACACAAAAGTTGATATTTCTAGGAGAAGTGACAAAGCTAGAAAATTTCTACAAAAAGTGGTGAAATCGGGTTTTTGATTTTTTTGGTAATTTGTGCTGAAGAGATATTGGAATAACTCGGGTGCAGTCGAATAAAATGGGTCGAGTATTCAATAGTTAACTAATCATGAACGATTGAGCTAGTTCTGACTGAACAGTATTGATAAACAACGAATTGCGGTAGACGTTGTTCAGATTGTGAAGTTGTGTGGGCTGTTTCGATGTTTTCGGAAAAGGCCGAGAACTTGTCTGCTAGACAGAAAAGAACAATTAGATGAATGTGAGTAAAAAAATTATATAACAGTCCTTTTTTCAAAGAGAGAAAAAAAGAAGTGGAATGTAAATAACTTGCGAAATCAACATAGAATTTGGTGTGACCATTTTCCAAACGTTTCATTCGGTCCGACATTTTCTTTGCAAACGACACATTTTTCTCTTGTCAACGCACCTAGCAAAATTTGAGCGGGGACGAATATGGTTGTAATCAGCAACCTATAAGCCGATGTGCGGGCAACTACGTCCGAAAGTCATAATATGGTCGGATGTGGGNCATGAGGCGTCTCAAACAGTTTCTGCTTCGAAAGTCCTACTTATTGTCCTCTCGTCGTTCAGATGGAACCACACAAAAACAGGGCAGCGAAACTCCATCATCCGAGACTGTAACCGGGTCGGTGAACCACCGACAGTTTACTTAAGAGATATGCCTAAAAGCCCTGATGTCACACCAACCAACGGGCGTGCGAACTACACACAAAACTTCCTGGTTTTGGCAGTGGTTAGGTATCGAGGTGTATTGGACACCTTGGACGTTTGATCCGATGAACTGACCACAAGCGACAGTGGCTTGCGGCTTCTACATACCGCCCGGCCACCTTATGGGTCAGACTTTGGATAGTCAACGGCCCCAATTGCCAAGTCCCTAAAAAAATTCACCTGCGGTGCTCTGGGTAACCTATCAGAATGGCGTCCACCAGCGAATCATGGAAGTTACTCTTTAATATAAACACCATTATACTGTGATTTGTTAAGCATACATTATGAACTCACACTGAGACGGCCATCAATAAGTGAAATTTCACTTTGCATTTGAATTGATTTGCAATGATTCATTTAAGGTAGTTCGCAGTCCTTAATCCAAAACTTAACAGAGATGAAACAACCGACGGTTCCACCGCTACTAAAGGTAGTCCTACCACCACTAATCATCTAGAACGTGATGAAATTTACCGTCCTGAGTGCCTTCTTTATTGCGTACCCTTTTGTGATAAACACTAGAAGGGGTTAACTCAACAATCACGAGGACCTGTTATTCAATCATGGAAATCGAAAATCTAGGCTCCAGGACTTGGTGCGGCGAACGGAATAAGGCTACGCGTTCCGTTGCTCCCAACAGAACGTAGCATAAACATGAAAACCTAAAAGGTGTTGATCCCAACGGTCTATTCACTACCCTGGGGGATTGTAATGCTGGCAATACAGATAGGTTTATGCACTCAGACCACAACGCCTAAAATCGGAAGCGAATCATACTGAATTGCAGAAGTCAACT